AAATAACAAGTGATATAATGTTGTTTCTCCAAATCTGTTCCCATGGAGAAACAAATTAATTTACATTTTTAAGTGTGTTTTTTTTTTTTTGCATTGCTGTCATTAGTCATGACGAGGCTCTTGCTCTTCTCTCTGCAGCTCTGTAGGTCACTGTTGCTGAGAAGGTTTCCTCTCTCATTGCCAACCTTCGACCGCTGGCATTTAACTGGCTCTGCCAAAGTGACCCTTCAAAGCAGCACATGGTGGCTAAATGTCCTTCTTTAGAACAAGGGCTAGCAGATATAATAAAGTACTATTTGTTAGCAATTTTCAGTCTCATCTCAACAGTTGAGTAGAGTTTGGCATGATTCTGTTGCTAGGCTACACTCTTAAAAATAAAGGTTCTTAAAGGGGGTTTTCGCAATGATGCCATAGAAGAACAATTCTGGGTTTCACGAAGAACCCTTCAGTGAACAGTTCTTAAAAGAACCTTTTTTTTCCATTATAAAGAACCTTTTGTGGAATGGAATGATTCCATGGATGTTAAAGGTTCTTCATGGAACCATAGATGCCAATAAACAACCTTTATTTTTAAGAGCATAAAAATACACAGCACACAGAACTATTGGATCAGTTTGTGCATTTTAATTTAAATGATTTTTATTGATAGCTTAGTTATTGAATCATATTTTCAATGCTTTTTCTGCTATATTGGATGTTTTACTAAGCTCTTCATAGGACGTTATGGGATTGCATTCTCTGTGAAAGATACATGAGATGCTGCTTTAGAATTTGGTCAAAATAAGGTATTTTAGAAGGCAGCATGATCATTTCCTCTAAATGCTAAATGGGCATCTGCTTGTGTATTTTGCAGAGAGGAACATGCCGTGGGTTGATGTTTTATGGGAATAGTCATGGGTGCAGATGATCTTTAATGTGACTATTTATTTGCATGTTTTTGGTAAAGAAAGAGAAAACCCAGCCTTCACTTTGAATTGACAAACCCTGTTTCAGTGAATGTCAAAATTCTGTCAAAGCCATTTGATGTGACCCAGCAAACCATCAGCGCTCTGTTTCTGAACATCATGTGTGAGGGTTTTTCATTGACATTAGCCACTTGATGGAATTATTGTAACACAGGATCAGATCACCAGAAAACACACCCAAACAAGATGACTTTATAATCCCTGCTGCTGTTTCTTACAAAACAGAAATGAGGCTCTCAGGACTGTCAGAGGTTTGTGTTTTCATTGGCAGTTTATTTTGGCAAACTCTGAGATTCTCCAGTGCAGTCCCGTGTGCCTCCTCACACTCGAGCTGATGCGCCACTTTGCTGTCGTCTCTCGTTGAATGATGATCTACACTCCCGCTGGCGTCGACTCAGCTTCAAAAACTGAATTACATAATTGGGTCTTTCATCACTGGTGAACAAGAGGAGAAGCCATTGCCTACCCTTTATATCAGAGTTAATTCACAATTAGCTTGATCCTAAAGAGATGTTAAGAATAAAGATGAGGGAATAGGAAGATCTTTTACTGATACGTTACAACCTCTCAGAAATTACAATTTAACTACAACATTAAACGCGGTTCACAGCCTTTCATTATCTAACATATTTCCAAGTGCTGCAAGTGAAAATCTGAAAATGTCAGATTAAAATCTATTTTGATCTTGTACAATGGGTTTAACTAAATAAATGTATTTGTTAGTATTGTTCAGAGGTTTATGGTCAGTAAGATTTTTATACTTTTAAAAAAGTTTTTTTTTTTTGCCTCACCAAGGCTGCATTTATTTGATTCAAAATGCAGTCAAAAAATGAATATAGTCCAAAATATTGTTGTAATTTAAAATAAGTGTCTTCTATTTGAATATAGTTTAAAATGCAATTTATTCCTGTGATGCAAAGCTGAATTTTCAGCATCATTACTCCAGTCTTCAGTATCACATGATCCTTCAGAAATCACTTTAATATGCTGATTTGCTGCTCGAGAAACATTTATTATTATAATCAATGTTGAAAACAGTCATGCTGCTTAATAATTGTGCATCTAAAATAATTAAATGTTTATATAATTCAAAAAATAAACACTATGGAAGCTTGTTTCTGCCACCAAATAATAAAACTTAGCTGCAAGTTTACATCTCGCAATTCTGACCTTTTTCTCAGAATTGCACGATATAAACGTGCTATTTTAATTTATAATGTCAGAATTACGAGATTACTTTTTTACTCAAAATTGAACTTCATAACTTGCAATTGCAAATTTATCTCTCGCAATTCTGAGAAAAAAGTAAATCTTTTAAAAAAAAAAAAATGTTTTATTCCGTGGCGGAAACAAGCTCCCATAACATATAGTGTGTATATAAAGAAATATAAAAGGCAAGTATTTTTGCAGTGTTCCATCTCTAATTGATTCATAGCAGATCTAGAGGAAATTTCATTTATTATTGTATTTAAGAAGGGCACTGTCTACTTTGTCTGTGTTTTACTCCATTTTTGATCTACCACAGTCCTAAATCACATCTAAAAGGCCTCTAATCTCATATTGCATAGGGCAGTGTATCAGCGAGTAGATTTGACAGCTCTGGGCCAGACTTTGCTTCACAGAGCTTTTAGGCCCTGTTGTTTAGTGCTGACGTGTTCCTGTACGAGTCTAATTGAAACGCAAGTGTTCCTCCAAGAGGAAGACTGTTGTTCCCAGCCGAGCCATTTCACACACACCGCTGCTCCTGCACGCCATTGCTATTGCTGTCCCGTCTGCAGACCTGAATAGAGATGAGATGTATTTGTGAACTGTGAAACCATACTGCAGCATAGCCGGTGTGCCGGTGTGCTCTGCCTGTGCAGGACTAGTTACCCGGCTTATTCATCTGTTTATTGGTTTGACATTGAATGTCATTGAGAGCTCTTAAAGGGATAGTTCACCTATAAATGAACAATTCTCTCATCATTTACTCACCTAAATATATTGCAGGATGGTTATGGTAGATTTGTATGACTGAAATTTGAACTCTTATCTCCCATTTATAGCTCTCAAATCTCTTTGACGGTGTTATGGCGGAGAAGTGGAGCATATAACAACCCAAATTTTAGTCTGTTTGTCACATAAAGCTATCATATGGTTTCAGAAGACTTGAAATAGCTGTTGTGTTGAAACTGAAATAAGTTGTGTTACTGATTTAGTGGTACTTTTTGGAGCTTGGCAACCACATTTACAGTACTTTCATTAAGTACGTTCATTGTATTTTGTGTTCTACTGAATGATACGAAATTGAGTAAATGACAGTGTTATTTTAGTATTATTTATATACTATTATAGTTTTTATTAATATTAGCTTTTATTTTCTTTATTTTATTATATTTTATACATTTTTTACCATTTAGGTTTAATATATTTATGTTTCTGTTTTAGTTTTATTTAATACATTTAGTTCTTAAACATATTTCAGTTGGTTGCCCAAGTAGCATTTATTTTATTTTATTTTTTTAATGTTTTTTCTTTTCTTTTCTTTTGCAAAACATGCTTTAACAGTTTTAGTTAATAATAATTTCAATGAGATGAGATAAAATATGATAAAATAAAATATAATAAACACTAAAACCAAAACAAGACTATGAATGTTCTGAATGAATGAAATGCCTTTGTCCGTGTTCACTCCGTCTCGAATCGCGCTCACGGAAAGCACGAGTCTCTTCCACGGCTCGGTACGCTTGCAACTAATTTTTTTTTTGTCTCAAGCAAGAGACTGTATGACATTCACGTTACATAATTTTACAGATTTTTACGTAGAAAGGGCGACAGCGCACCGCATTAAAAGAAATGAACATTCATGTTTTAATAACTGCTGGCCAAATTCAAAAACGAAACTAAAATTAAATCATCTTCGAGAGCAAGGGGGCCCCCTGGTGTTTCGGGGGCCCTACGCAGCTTGCGTACTTTGTGTATAGGGAGGATCGGCTCTGGATGAGTATAAGTGAAAGAAATGTATTTATGTATTTTGTGTATTTTAAATATTTGTGTATTTTGAATGAAATCTTCCCTGAGTTCCCTGAGTGTGGCCGCAATGCTGATGATTTTCATCATGTGTCAGCGCTGTATCGATTAAATACTCATCAGAACCCACTTGCATGGATTTTTCTATAACAAACACTGTCTAATCAGCCCTGAAATCAATCAATATTAAAAATGATTTTCACAATGGCAGCGCAGATCTCTACTGGCAGAGTGGTGCACATGCGGAGAGAACATGCAGGGATTGTATGAGTGAGAATGAAACGACTACAGAGGACAGCATAAGGCAGATCCATGCCTGCTGCCGCCAACTGGGCCATTTCTCCCTTGGACCAACCGCTTCCGCTGATGAGCTCATAGTGCCCCAGATTCACCTTTACAGACATTTATAGCTTTACAACCATCTCCCATTATGCACTGTTTACTCTGGGTAAGAAGAGAAGCACATCAATTAGTTTTATTGGCATTTACAGCTCTGCAGTCCACATGACTGGTCTGTTTCTGTGTATTCACTTTTCAGTGCCCTGATAACGTAATAGGACTTGGGCCGAGGTGTTGAGTAGAGCAGTGCTGACAGATATCCCTGATTGCCTTTTTTTGGCTGTCACTGAGAAGGCCGAATGTCTTGCTGGCTCATTATCTTCACAGACACGGGGTGATGTGGACGCTGAGAGGTGGCCGTCCGACTGATGAACTCTATTCAGAGAGGAATACACAACAAGAGAGAGAGAAAAGAACAGGCAAATTAGATGAGAATGTGAACAAGAATGTGACGTGTTTACATGTAGTTTACAAAAAAGAAGAGCGGCGTCATTAGGAACGGGAATCGTTATTTAACGCTGTATACGTTAGATGGTTGATTGGCAGATGCCTGGTTTTTGACCTGGTAGACCATTTTCCTAGCTTGTATATCATGTATTTAATATTGTGGGGAAAATGCATTGATATGAGCAGATAAACTGTGCACAGAGCAGAAAGCCATACAAATCATGTGTTTTGCAAGTCAATATGAAAAATGATGGTTGAGCTCACAGTGACTCCACAGAAGGCCACGATGAGGATGATGAGATCTACGAGGGCGAATACCAGGGCATCCCCAGGAATGACTCTGTCGAGAAGGCCGACAGACAGGTGGGCGAAGTGGGACAGTCTCAGTTCCGGGACATGGCACAGTACGAGGGGGAAAGGAGGAAGGACCAGGAGGAGCTAGCCCAGCAGTATGAGACCATCCTCCAGGAGTGTGGCCACGGCCGCTTCCAGTGGACCCTGTACTTTGTGCTGGGTCTGGCCCTCATGGCTGATGGCGTGGAGATCTTCGTGGTGGGCTTCGTACTGCCCAGTGCTGAGAAAGACATGTGTTTGTCTGAGCCCAACAAAGGGATGCTGGGTAAGTCGAGAACAGCTCATTAGCTTTTATCTGTGGTTTCTGTTATAAAGTGCTTTAGTGCCCAATCTGCCCATCCACTTTTCACCGGAATTATATCCGGAAGTGTTCTTCTCATTCATTTTTTCCAAAGATTTAAAAAAAAATCTTTGTTAAAGAGTTAAAAGCCATGAACCAAACCAACCAGTTACAATGTGAATCAAAACACTACAACATTTGTTTTAAGTAAAAAAAGTATTTGAAAATTAGATAAAAAGACAAAGCTGTCTGTGTACTGTGATCAGGGAAAGATCACTATATTATGATTATTGTTGGCTCTTTGATAAATTGCTTGTGTTCCTCTTTTGTAAGTCTGCTAAATTCATGAATGTAAAGTACTGCAATCCCAAGAAGAATTGTGAATGATATAACCGAAATAAAAATAAAGGAATATTTATAAAACTATTGATTTAAAAATGTTGAATAATATATATATATAGACAGATATATAGAGAGTGAAAGAGAAACTTTCTGCTGATTTTTTTTTTTGGAAAATGTTTAGGATTGAAAACCTAAATGTATTGCAAATAAATGTAATGAAACTGGATTTATTTTCATGTTAAAAAAGGATTGGTTTACACAAAAATTTACAATTTTCAAACTCAAACCCTGTATGATTGTCTTTTTCTATGAAACAAAATGAAATCTTAAGTTACACTTTTCCTTACAACGAAATTGGCTGATGATATTTTACTTGTTCATGATATTTCATGGCCCTTTATTTGAGCTTAGCAATATAAATCGCCATCTGCATTTTTGGAAATGCATTATGGAAAGCAGAACCTCAGATATTCTGCCTAAAGATCTTCTTTTGTGTTGCACAGAAGATAGAAATTTCTGTCAGACTGGAACAAGTACATGTACATGTAATTTTTCATTTTTGAAAAACCAATACGGTTTAGATCCTTTGCAACATCTTAAACCAGCCTAAGCTGGTTTGCTGGTCTTATCTGGTCTAAAAAGTGCCTAAAACTCATGTAAAACCAGCCTGACCAAGCTGGAAGACTAACTAAGACCAGCAAACCAGATTAGGTATAGAAATGTATAAGATCTCTGTCCAGTGGTCATGGGAAAATAGCTTTCTGTAACATATAAACAAAATATATCTTAAGGCCAGTTTCCACTGTCATCTTGTGCCCATTTCACCATCTGTCAGTCCGTCCAGCAAGGACACACAATTCTCCATCCTGGTCAAACCCGACGCAGCATTGACGCAGTTTGAGCTATAATTAACTGACAATAGACATGCTGAACAGCACAGTGTGCTTTCATAGCTTGTTCTGACTCCTTGTGGTCAATATTCTGGTAGTCCTTTTGTATGGATGGAGTCCTTGAATATCATGTTACATATCCAAAAAACAAGGTATTATCATTATATAATGTCCACGAACATTTTGGTAGTTTTAACTGCTGTGCTCATGCATGCACACACATAAGTGTTGCTGCTCTTAGACCATATTCATTATGTTTCTTAATGTTGTCTATTTGATAAATGATCTTTTATGTGATTATTGGGACATTATTGATGTGTTTTCTTGGTTGTAAGGTTCACACCTTGGGTTATAAATGTGAGCTTGTTGTGTGCTCATGTCAGTGCTTGTTCGTTGATACACTCTGCGTGGGTCTCAGCTGAGCGTGTGTATGTGAGTGTCATTGGGGAGCAGGGCTCTTGGTCTCTCCCCTGTTACAAAACAGCCCTGACTCATGCAGAAGTGCTGTCTGCATCTCTGCTGGGTCCTAGTGCTGAAATGTTTCCATGCACACGCAGCTGCAGTTCCGCTGCAGAAATGCTTCAGCCTCTGTCACATGACACTCTCCAATCAAATCCAACAGCGTGGATGTGTGGGATGAAATAGCCCGCCGGGGGTTTGTTTCTACTGACTGCACCCAGCAGTCAACCTGCATGTTTCTCTATGGCTTTAAACGCAATGAATGAGGCCTAAACGAGAAGAAACTGCATTATTTGTTTGTGTAGTATAAAAAGTATACTATAGTATAATACGATGGATAAAATACTATTATAAATTTAAATACTACTGAAAGTAAATCGCGGCATTAAATGTTATGACAAATCAGCTGTTAGGGAGATTTTATGGTTTGATGGATTTTTATTGAATTTGTTGGATGGATTGATGCTATAGATAGATAGATAGATAGATGGCAGCAGATGCACTAAAGGTGATGCCGCTGTACCTTTGACAGCACACATTTAGCCGATTTCTCACCAGAAGACTGGGTGTTAAATGGCACATTAGTTCGGGTGTAACTGAAGAACAGAATATACAAACCTGCCACAGTCCATCGCGCTCCTCTCATCTGTGATGCATAGACACACTCGCAGAAAGGAAAAATGGCTCTATAAATAGTCTCCCGGCCCCTCCCCCGCTTTCTCTCTCTTTTTTTCCCTCACTTCCTCAACACTGTAGCCTGTGTGCTTTCCTGTCACTGTGCAGGAGAATCATAGCCTCCTCTCCCGCCCTTCCCCCTCTGCTCTCTCTCTCTCTGAGGAGGAGGAAGAGGAGGCGGAGGTCAACAGTCTCTAGGCACTTGCCCCGCCCATCCCCTCTCCTCCTTCTCTGAGACCCCTGTGACATAATGCAGGTGGCCCCGCCCACTCGACCATCACCTAGCCCTAATTGGCTGGGTCGTGTAGCATCAGTGTTGCAGCAGTAGCGTGAAACACAGACCTTCCCTTTAAATTCAAGACACGTGGTTAACCGCGAGTGTGGCCGTGTTTATTAATGCTGTCAGGTGAGCGAGTTGTGTAAAATCACACAGCACATGTGTTGTCATCTCTATTGTTCAGGTCTCCCTAGCAAATGTTCTCTGCAGCACTGCCTATGAAGGTCATAAACAGGCCTGCATGAGTGCAGAATTCAGAATAAAGTGCTGTAGAGTTCCACAGAATGCAAGCGCTGTACACATTGTTTATGGAATATTATTGAGAATATGAATCACCTTGTCTATAGTATACACTAAACAAAACAATAAAAAAAAAATTGTATAATGTGAAGTTGTTCTTTAACAATTAAAACAGCATTTAATACAACAAAAATATGCAAAAATATATATATATTTTTTTTGTCTTGTTTTCTAGGAAAATATCATTTTATTGTTTATTTAAATATATATATATATATATATATATATATATATATATTCATAAATGCTAAAATGTATAATGCATGTATTCATAATGTATGTTAAATACATTATATCTTTTCATATATAACTGTAATTAAAAACCTAAAATTGCAGGTGTTGTGCAATGCAGGGTAATGCATAATACTTTCTAACAATAAATAGATTCATATTATAAATGTATCATAAATGTGGTTACAATTATTCATAAGATCATATACGATACATTATAAGAGGCATTACAGTGCATATTTAATCCTTTAAAAACACTTCATAATGCATTATATATAAATACTTCAAGTAAAGTGTTACCAATTTTTTTGCAGTGTAAACAGTTTTTGCCAGTAAATGCTTTGACAGATTCACCATTGTCTTTGTGTTGTTTTGCATTACCCATTATTTTATCCCATCAAATTCAACCCAGATTGCAAACACAACTTTCTGCTGCTAATAAGAGAGCACAGAGCGGTCTTGTCATATTTAAATCCCAATGTCCCATTTTAGTGTTACTCCTCTCCGCTAATGCATTGCCCAATGGACACAGCTCTTCAGTCAGAGGTGCTGAGAGCCGCGGGTATGTCCTGTGCAGGGTTTGTGCAGTGTAAGCCGATGGGCCCTGGAGAGGAGGGGTTGAGATAACAGACCCCTGTGCTGCATTGCAGTGATGCCTATCAAGGCTCATCATCACGGCTGTCCGCCATAGTGGCCCATTATGAGGCCAATGTGAGAGAAAAGTAGTGCTGACAGCTGCCTCACAAAGTCAGCTTTAATGCTACTTCAACATTTGCAGCACCATCTTAAACACCTGCAGATCTTGCAGAAACACCAGACACCAGCACAGATGCTCATCAGAGTATAGCTGTTGGTTCTGATGGTGAAATGAAGAGAACTGTTTATAAATGCAATTCATTCAGTACTGAAAGGTATTACTAAATGTAGTCCAATATAGTTAAAAATTAAAAATAATCTGTTTTACCCAATATGTGTGTACAGTTTATATATATACTAATCATAACATTTAAAGAGGTGATTTATGTTAATGCCATATTTCTTGCCAAAATACATGTAAAAAAATAAATGCAAGAATTTTTTTTTTTTTTTTTTTACATTTAAAAGTTATTATTAAGATATATTTTTATGTAATTTCTTTTTTTGTGTGATTATTAAATATAATATATATCAATGTTTAATTTTTAATATATAGTATACAATTTAATGGACTCTAGGAAATATTTTGTTTATTGGCAGCATGTTTGCCAGGTCCAAGAATAATTGACAGCCCAAAACCAACTTTAAAACCCACTCAACAGGACTAAAAAATACCAATTTTCCAGTTGACATCTGCAGGGATTTAAAATAAACAGTTAGATTTTATGAAGCCTGTGTTTTACATTTTATTAGGAAGATTTTAGTTAGACTACTTTATATGTAGTATGTGAATATTTCACTATTTAATCTGTATTTTATATCTATAAAGTTACTTATTTTATTTATACGAATAAATATGAAATATTAAAAATATTAAATATAAATTTCATATGTAAAATATGAAATATAAATATGAATAACACTATCACAAAATGTTTTTGCCTTAAAACACATATTGACTTACCAATCTTTTAAAAAACTTTTTTTCATACATTAAATTTAAATCCTTTACATACTGAACTCATGATCATTATTAATAGCCTATATACTTTGTTCTCTTTGCTTCACTCTTTTTCTTTACACATTCACTCTTGTTTTATCTGCACACAAGCATCAGTGTGCAATCAATTAACCTGCCTTGAAGTTCCTGATGTGGGCAAAATATCCAAATTTGGATATTTTCAGTGGAGTTTTTGTGAGTTCCAGGGGCTGAATTTTAAACGTGATGTATAAAATCCCCCAAGATGCTGTTTGCTCTGATATGCATTATCAGCTGTTAGACCTTTTATTAAGACGTGTGTGCCTTTCCAAATCATACCCATTCAATTGAATTTGCCACAGGTTAACTTCACTTGAAGTGTAGTAATATCTACAAGCAAAATGAATGCTCCTGAGCTAAATTTCAACCGTCCCAAATATATAGAGGGATACTTATACCAGAATACTTATGCAATGGAATCATTTTATTTTTTTATTTTTAATACATTTGCAAAGATGTTAAAAACCTGTTTTTTTGCTTGACAATTATGGTGTATGGAGTGTAGATTGTTGTGGAAAAAAACTAATTTAAAGCAATTTAATATAAGGCAGCAACAAAACAAAATGTGAAAAAAATGAAGGGGTATGAATACATTCGCAAGGCACTGCATCTCTCTCTCTCTCTCTCTCTCTCACTAAAAAAAAAATATATATATATATATATAATTTAATGATGCAATTTACTTTCAGTGCCATGATATTTCTGGCCAAAATACATGTAGAATATATGTACACGAGAAAATATACTTTTTAAATTTAAGTATATATTTTGTCTATTCCTTCAAATGCCACAAATGCAAGAAAATACATTTTCTGTGAATGCAAAATGTATTTTTTTTTTAATATATTTTGGACTATTTATAGGGCAAAATGGATAAAAAATATATCACTAATATAAATTACCTGTATATATTTATATATATATATTTCTGAATAAATTCTAAATGTATGACTAATATAGACATAATATATAATATAATACATACATAACATCTATATTAGTGATATATTTCTGTTAATTCTTTTTGTATATTTTAAAATATATTTAAAATATATTTCTGAAAATATTATAGAGTGATTTGAGACTCCCATGCAAATCACATAAGGAGCAGAATATTTACGTTATTGTCAATATAGAGGTTTCCATTTCAGTTAGGATGTTGCCTATATAGGCTGCAGATAGTAAGACAGCTCATTAGGTTTTGGAACAGAGCCATTGTGTTTTGGATGCTGGTGCGCTCAACTAGCTTCACCAACAAGACCCAAGGTGTGAAATGATGTTAATCAGATGTGAAAGAGCAATATCTGAGGAATATCATTTTCCTTGGGTCATTCATATTGCATCCATGGATGATTCACTGCTTTCTGATTGTCGTGACAGGCATCACATCCATGCCAGCGGTGCCAGCGGTCTGCTGTGGTGCTGCCGGGTGACGTCTGTCTGTGTTCACACCCGCAGTCACATGACCAGCTGGAGCTGTGAAAGAGTCGTCAGTGTGAATTCACTAACCAAAGAAATCCTCGCACACGAACAAAAGACAAATTAATTTTAGCTCTCAGGCACAAAACAATGAAACTGTTCCATTCTATAAAAGAAGCACAACTTTGGCATTTTAATCGTATTTTGGCTCCAGTTCCAGAAATGTCATTTTATCCAACATATCGGTCACTTTGATTTACTGTCTGTATGGAGTATCACAGTGAGTTATCCTGATTGGGACAGGACGCTGGTACGGTTATTGATCGGCCTGTCTCTCTGTGTCTTTCTCTCGCAGGTCTAATTGTGTATCTGGGTATGATGGTGGGTGCCTTTGTGTGGGGAGGTCTGGCTGACAGAATCGGCCGCAGACAGACCCTTCTTATCTCTCTCTCCATCAACAGTGTCTTTGCTTTCTTCTCCTCCTTTGTCCAAGGATACAGCTCTTTTCTGTTCTGTCGTCTGCTCTCCGGTGTGGGGTAAATGCACTTTTCACACTACCTACAGTCTACCAACATTTATTATTATTATTATTATTATTTAAAAAATTTTTTTACTTCCATTAGCTGTCAAGTCACAACATTTCTATTTTTCTTTTAAATATTTTCATCTATTATTTCTTTTTTATTTTATTTCAACTTTATTTCAGTTAACAAAAAACGATTTTTAAATAGTTTTAGATTTTGTTAGCAATAACAACTATGATACATTCTAAAAATATATATTTCGAAGTTGTAAATAAATAAAGAAAATAATGGAGTATGTTTTGCAAGAAAAAACTTTATCAGTCTTTCTACTTCAAAATTTCATGTTTAATTCAATGTTTTACTTGCCGTTTCTTTGTCATGTTTTTTTTTTTTTAATTTACTAAAAATAGCAGTGAAAATAGTTTCATAACTAGCAAATCCTAATTAAATTCTACACCAATTTTTTTCAGAGTATATTATAAAAAATTTTGAAATATGGTGGAAGAACTTATTTTCTGAATGTATATAATTTATTAAAATATTATATTTAATCAATTAAATGCACATTTCTGTAGGTGGCTTTTTAAACACCAATTAATAATATACATATCATCTAATGATTCTGGAAATACCCCATATATACTATGTGTATGACCATGTTTACTGGTAATATATAATGTAAAAACAGCAGTTACCTTATTTTTTATTTCGTTCTGTTTTAATTCTACTTCCTGAAATTTTTACTAGCTCTGAAAATTGTAATGGCACACGAAATATTAAACTATTATGTTTAATATTAAATCAGATATTTTACATTTTTAAAAATGATGCACAATATCCTAATACTGGAGTCCCTCTCTGTTTCATGCTGTAGAATCGGTGGCTCTATTCCCATTGTGTTCTCGTATTACTCTGAGTTTCTGGCTCAAGAGAAGCGTGGTGAGCACTTGAGCTGGCTCTGCATGTTCTGGATGATTGGAGGCATCTACGCTGCTGCCATGGCCTGGGCCATCATTCCCCACTATGGTAACCATCCCGCTCACATTGTTTAGGTTGAGTGCTGTAGCTTAATGGTTAATTGACCTCGGCTTTTAGCTGGAAGGTTTTAGATACATTAATTGAACTATCACCACCGTGCCCTTGAGCAGGGCATTTAACCTCAGGTAACTAACTCCACAGGGGACTGAACCGGTAACTTAAGATGGAGATGTCACAGAAAGTAATTCCACCAATTAAGGGTTTAGGGACAATATGAAGTGGTTCTAAATCTCATCAGCTTATCTTCAAAAGTATGACATGATTTTAAAAGCCTAGTTGCCATGAATATCAGAAATGTCAGTCACTTGAGTGTCGTAATTAGAAAGACTGTAGTCTACACAATTTATTAGTTGTAAATTAAGTGGTATTTTTAGCATTAGCTTTTTAAAACGTTTACAGTCAAAAATGGAAACAATTTGATATCTTGAATTATTTTGGATATTTTATGACTTTGTAAATGTGCATTCAGCGCAGGGTCAGAAATTAATAGGGGCTTGGGGCAAAAATGCCACCAAAATCAATAAAAATGCCCCCTAAATTCAAGATACTCAGGGCTCCAGACTGCGCCTAAAACGGTCACATTTGCGACCAAAAATATTAGTTTGCGAGTGATATTTTTGCCATTGGCATCTGTATAAATTGACATGTTATGATTTAAAAATGTGCATGTAATTCCTGATAGTTTTGCGATCACATCTTTTATGTTGATGTAATAAACTGAGACGAGGCGCATCAAAGTTTTAGAGGAAAAACAGTCCTCATCTCTGCCGAACACCAGCGTTGACGGCACACTTGCTAAAAGCAGGCATCAGAGAGGGCGAAAATGACGGAGAGACGTGCGACTGCGAAGTAAAAGTGCAGACAATCAGTCTATTTCGAGTACAACTTGAACAAACTACAACAGGTAAAACTGTCAGCTGTGTGGACATTAACAATATCGGTAACAATTCTCGTTTATAATCGATAATAATATGGCTGCTTGTTATCAAGATCTCTAGTCTACATGCTGTGTTTTGTTAATGCTGTGAACTTCATATTATTTGTAGCGCGCTTTGCCATCCAGTAATCGCAATAAGCTTTGTGCTCTGTTACCTTTTAATTAAACAAATTATCAGCTTTAAAATTCTGCCAAATTCGTAATGAAATTCAAACAATAAATACAGTTTTAGCACTCTTGAATTAAACGCATGAGCGATTCGCCTCAGTTCAAGCGGCACGTGAATCCGTCATATCTTTCTCTTTACTACTATAGTATGAAATAAACATGAATGGACATCAAAAGGTGTATTATAAGATAACCTACAGTACATCTTACTGAAATGTCTCATGTAATCGCTCATTCAGTGTTTCAAACTGCGGAAAAACGAGTAAAGCTTGTAAACAATGCCATGTAACAATCATTTACCTCAGAATAACCATTCGGCGTCCATAAGCTCATCAGTCAGCTAGAAACAATAACTATAAATAGGAGCATTTATGCGCTATATTGCATATTCATAGTTTTACTTAACCTGTTGTCTACATGATAACAAAGAATGCAAGGAGCTAAAGATAAAATTCAACACCTTCTATAAAATTGCATGTTACTAATGAACAGACTGGATGTGTGCAAGACATATGACAACATTTATAGGATGCATTGAGGAGGAGCCCAAACTACACTCAATGACCAAGTGATGCTGACATAGTTATGGACCTGATATTGGCACAGATTCTGTGTAATAAACAATTCTTTGTGACTGTATATAGTTCTCAGTTTGGAAAAGACATTTAGTTCCCACTTTAAGTGAACCTTAGTTCCCATCTACAATATGAATTAAAATGCTGATAAAGACAAGAAAAGATGACTGAAATGTTAAATTGTTAAAAAATTTATAAATAAATAAAACCCATTTATTCTGTGGCGCTTAAAAAAATTATTTGGCAGCTAATTTTGTTTCTTATAGGAGCCAATGGCTTCTTAACTGATTTTTTGTCTGGAGCCCTGATACTGTACTGGGGCAAAAACTGCCTCTGCTCAATTAAACGAAATCGATTACGACTGTCATGAAGTGTACAAAAAAAAAAAAGTGAAAATGCATGAAAGGGCATTTCATTTAGTTCCTGTTTTTTATTGGTATAATTTGTATACTTTATGTCAGCTGTTTGAAATTTCACCAATCTAATAACATCATGCAATAATTACAGCTTTAAACAGAATAAACCATCATTAAACATGCTGTAAATGCCACGTCAGATGCAGCTTCTGTGCCACCTTTGACTTTTCTTGATGTTAATAATTATAATTTTATAATAATAATTATAACGATCATTTTGTTGGTAACAACCTATAGTATTCTAATTGATTGATTGGATTAATTGAATAAATATAGAAATTTGACACATAAAGACAACACAGATATATTTAATAGGTAAAAGTTACCATTACAAAGGTAAAAAATGACCCTGGAAGTTAATTCCAGTGGGCAAAAGTTAATTTCTGAGCCTGAGCCATATATTACTCAACTAACTAGTTGAGTAATATATGCCCTTTCCTTTTAACCAGGCTGGAGTTTCCAGATGGGCTCAGCCTACCAGTTCCACAGCTGGCGAGTGTTTGTACTGGTGTGTGCGTTCCCGGCCGTCGCCGCTATCGCTGCGCTGACCACCATGCCAGAGAGCCCACGCTTCTTCCTGGAGGTTAGTGACGTCCCACATCCCGGCTTGGATCTGTGTTTTTGGTTCATGCTGTAGGAAAAATGTGCAGAATACGTTTGTATGAAGATGACTTTGCTGCAGTGTGTGTGTTTTAACAGAACGGAAAACATGATGAAGCATGGATGATTCTGAAACAGGTCCATGACACCAACATGAGGGCCAAGGGCTACCCGGAGAGGGTTTTCTCTGTGAGTAGCGCTTGATTCACTATCAGAAAGAACAATAACATTAGGACGGAAGTGATCTGTGGAAATCGGCGGAATTTTAATTTCTCAGTATGAATTAGAAATGAATTATGCAGCCACGCTAATGGGTTCCCATTTATCTGGCCGAACTGGAGTCAAATTGGCTTTCATGCACATTTAATGAAGGTGAATAAAGTTATTATTTAGATGTAAATTATTTTGGTACCGTAAAGGACATTTTACTGTTATGGGCCCTGCAGCGATTAGCATTGTAAATCTTAATCTTGCCGCTTAACTAGACACGGCTCACCTCTCATTGTCAAGTAGTTAATATAGGCTATTCATGAGCAGATTCCCACCAATTAACCACACAAAACTGAGAATATCACTAAAGTATTAAGGCACGTTTTGAAGCATGCTGTGAAATCCCCAGGTCACCACTATTAAGACGGTGAAACAGATGGATGAGTTGGTTGACATGGGTGGAGACGCCACAGCCTGGCATCAGCGCTGGAGGATCAAGCTGACCAACCTCTTCCATCAGGTAGAGTACCATAAACACTACCATATGAACTTTTAATTTCAAATGATCTACAGAGGACATATTCTATACTTTTACACATTTTATTTTATATCAGTCAAGGTTTCTTGCACCAAAAAGTCATCATTTGATTGTACACTTCCCATTCAAAAGTTTGGTGGCAGTAAGATTTTTATTTATTTTTTAATTAACACTTTTATTCAGCAAACATGCAATAATTGATCATAAGTGACAGAAAAGACATGTATAATGTTACAAAAGATTTATATTTAAATGCTGTTCTTTTGAAAATTCTATTCATCAAAGAATCCTGAAAAAAAAATGTGCCATGGTTTCCACAAAAATATTAAGCAACACCAGGTTTAAAACTATTAAAACCAAATTTGTTAACTAAAAAACAAAATAATAAATAAATAAATAAAATATTACATGAAAAGCTAAACAGAAATTAGAAATGTTGCCTTGGCAACTAACTAAAAGAAGTTTTCTTTGAAACTAAAATTACTAACTGGAAATACAGTAAATAAAAGTTAAAACTAGGGTTGCAAAGGGGAGGAAACTTTCTTTCCAAAAATCCCTGGAATATTCCAAAAAATCCTGAAAAGTTTCCAAAATTTCTGGAATATTTCCCAAACTAAAACCGAAATAAAAAAAAAATTTAATCCAAATTATAATATTTAAAAAGAACAAAGACAAAAGCACATAACAAAATTACTAAAAAATACTAATTCAAATTAAAAGTAAAAACTGAAAATAAAAATAAAAGCTAATTCAAAACATTAATAAAAACTATCATAGTACATAAATAATAATAAAATAACACTAAGCAGCACAACTGTTTTCAACATTTAATTAAAAAGAAATATTTATTGAGAACCAAATCAGCATATTAGAATGATTTCTGAAGGATCAAGTGACAGGCATACTGTATTTTTGAATAAATGCAGCCTCGATGAGCTTAAGCGACTTCTTTCAAAAACATTTTTTTTTTAAATAGTATTTTTGTATATGTATAGTATTTACTTTAAATGACTGTTGTTATAATTAGCTAACATTTTTGCATTAAATAAATAATAATGCCCTCACCGATTAGTTATACTAAATAGGCATTGATATGTAAATGCAGCTGGTCATATGGTAACATGCTTATGTCTTAGTGACACTGTAACCATGGTGATTCTGATAGACACATATTTGCAGCTCAGGTTCCATAAATTGTAAACAATGAAGTGTGTACAGTACTTTGAACTCAAAATCCTGTCTTCCAATTGTTTATCTTGGGTTTCCAGGTGTGGGGCAACTTCCTGACAGTGTTTAATCCAGAGTACCGGAGGATCACCTACATGATGATGGCTGTGTGGTTTTCCATGTCCTTCAGGTAAACTACACTGAACTACATGCATTTTCCAATCCATCCAATGATTTGTCCCTCTGCATTGTTTCATGTTTTGTTGCTCTCTGTCTCCAGCTACTATGGGCTGACTGTTTGGTTCCCTGACATGATCAAATACCTGCAGAAACAAGAGTACTCCTCACGCACAAAGGTCTTCATCAAAGAGAAAGTGGAGCATGTGACCTTTAACTTCACCCTGGAGAACCAGATCCACCGGAATGGAGAGTACTTCAACAACAAGTAAGCGCCGCTCATAGGCAGTATGGCAAACATATTTCAGTAAATAGGCCTGACCTTTGTATAAAAGGTGAATTGTGTTGTGGCATTTTGCTTGCTTTTTAAAGGCATATTCCAGATTAAATGCCTCTAACAGCATGCCTCTGTTTTTCTTATGTTTATGGCAGAATTCAACTAGGACAATGGAAATTGATTGCTATTAGCATCTATAATATATTGAGTTTTCATTTTAATTTAAGTTCTATAAATTTTGTGTACTTTTTGCATTTTTGTTTAAAATATTTCTGTATACTGTAACTTTATTTTGATTTTAGTTTTAGTCATTTTAGTACTTCAGACTTAACCTTTAAGTTTAGGGTTTTCATCTAATATTTCAGCTTTATTTCAGTTAACAAAAATTATTTTTATTAGTTTTAAATGTAGTTGCAATAACAGCCCTGATCATACAGTGTATCCTTTTTAGAAAGACAATCCCAGAGTGTGTTGCTAAAAATCACGTGATGGCAGATGAGTTGAGATGATGTTAAGTTTATTATTTGCTTTGTACTGTATATTACTTTATTTCTCTGTTGTAGTTTGTTTAATTGTTTTGGTGCTTAAAGGTGGGGTAAGCGATTTTTCAAAAACGCTTTAGAAAACTGATTCGGGCCAAGTAGCAAAACAAACTTGTAGCCAATCAGCAGTAAGGGGCGTGATGTGGCGGAAAGAGAGTTCAGTGCACATGACGGACATTAGCGAGCTGAGCGACAGACAGATAGAGATGGCGGATAAAAAACAAAAGAGGAAAACGACTGCGGAACAAAATAAGGCTTAAGGCAATAAGGCAAGAAGTAGGACCCGTGTAAATATCGGATCAGCTTTCCAGCGCTGGAGAGAACTCAAGGAGCAGTAGGCCTGCGATCGGATGCCGAGGTTTCTTCTCGATAGGTGAGCAACACCGCGTCTGCGTCGCAACAGCTAAAGTCTGTCTAGTACACTGGACGTGACAAAGCAACCGTTGAAAATCATTTGAAATTTGTGTCAATACGTCATGAATAGAATGCAGCAGCAGTTTTCTGTCGGGGATTTGTCGTGTCGTGCCGCGCCGCATCCAGTGTAGACCATAGATATGTATATATATTTTTTGTGAAGACAGCATCACTGATTATAATGAGTTCCATAGTATTTTGTCACGCCGCGCCACTCGCGTCCGGTGTAGACACGGTGTAACATTGGTTTTGCTTTGTTTCACAGAACTAATCGTTGCCTGGGTTGCGTACGTATGTGTGGGCCGGAGCTATCAAAATAGGGGCGAGACCCTTTTGGTGTAGGGGCGTGTTTGTTTTGGTGATTTCAAATGTCAACATTGGCTACCAGAAATCACTTACCCCACCTTTAATATTATTTATTTTTGATCTGTTTTATGTATAATGTTTCATGTTTACCACAGGACAAACAAAATGTGTGTTCACCAGCTTTATCCTTTATACAATTAGATTTACATTGTCTATTTTTATTTGGGCCACTTTGTAGAAGCTAAAGGAAATCTGAATACTTCTAAGCAATTTCTTTGGGAATTTGTTTCTCTTTGTCATTAAAGGTTCTTGAATCTGAAGATGAAGTCTATGGTATTTGAAGACTCTCTGTTTGAGGAATGCTACTTTGAGGATATCACGTCAAGCAACACCTTCTTCAAAAACTGCACCTTCATCTCCACCCTCTTCTACAACACAGGTGAGAAGACCACAGGTTACACCCTCCTAGCTATAAACAAATATAGTGCTGCTGTTGAATGTCGAGTGAGATTTACACATTCAGCCGTATACAATAATTGGATTTCATCTGTAGTCGTTCAAAGCTTTGAACCTTTATAAGAAGACACTCGTATATGACATGTTTTTCTTCGGTTAAAATGGCTCTAGTTTCTAGAGCTATTGAATGCATTGAAAATGTTTCAGGTATCCTAGCAACACCAGCTCAGATTCTTCCTCTGCCTGTCTGTGAAGGAATGACAATCTGCTTTTCCTGATTTAGTCATACTGGGCGTTTAGGATTGTTTCTCTGAGCAGCTTGCAAATGAATGATGAGACTAAGAAACAAAGGCTCTGTTCCAAAACCTAGTACGCTGCCTACCTAGACAGCATTGTAATGTTTACATGAATGCATTTGCAGATGCTTTTATCCAAAGCAACTTCCATTGCATTAGATCATAATTTACTTATCCTCATGTCATTCCAAACCTGTATACATTTCTTTCTTCTGTAAAACACAAAAGAAGATATTGGTAACCAAGCAGTTTCAGGTCCCATTGACTTGTGTGGACTTTTCCTTTAAGGTGTATTTTATAAGTTCATGCATCATAGGCATGCAAAAATAGTTTTTTCAAAAGGTAAGGGCAAATCCCAGAGTGCACTGCAATGAGCTAAATGAATAAATTAATCCAAGATGGCAATGACTATAATATCCATATACTGTGTGAATGACCGTTGGAAGGCAGTAGACGGCTTACAAGGTTTTAGTATAGAGGTAAATGTTGCAATTTCTTTCTGTCCTCTGCGTCATGAAGTAGCTCAATGCATTAGACCACATGCATAAAGATGTTATCTGTCTACTGATTCTAGGGTGACCATATGTCCTCTTTTTCCCAGACCAGACTTGGCTGTGATTTCTAAGTTGTCTAAAATGTCCAGGTTTTTCTTTGTTTTCTTATTGTTTTCATACTTGCTGAAGGTAATGACTGAACAGTGGTTTGACCAATAGTGTGCAGGCATTGTACATAATCAACCAATCGTGGCATGTAATAAGGTGGTATCTACAGAGAACGGTCAAAGCAATGCACATATGTGTACATATAATGTATAAGAACTGTAGAGAGCATGTCAATAGGAAAGCAAAGCCAAAACCCGGCAATTTAGAAGTCCCGGCAAGGACATGTCTAGAAAAAAGAGGACGTATGGTCACCCTATTGATTCTTACAGCAGTCTGACCTAGAAACGCTTACCTACTTTAACTGGTGTAATGGAGGAATAGCTGCTGCATTGGTTAACAAGAGCCCTCATCTGTTTTTAGACTTGTTCAAGTACCGGCTGATCAACAGCAAACTCATCAACAGCACCTTTCTGCATAACAAAGAGGGCTGTATGCTGGATTTCAGCGATGAGAACAACGCCTACATGATCTATTTTGTCAGCTTCCTCGGCACACTTGCCGTCCTGCCCGGGAACATTGTGTCAGCTCTGCTCATGGACAAGATCGGACGTCTAAGAATGCTGGGTAAGAAAAACAAGCTGCATCAGTGCAATTTTTGGAGCGCAGAATAATATGAAGCCTTTTTAAAAAATAATAAACATTTGTTCTCACTCTCGTCATTTGGTGCAGCGGGTTCCAGTGTGATTTCCTGTGTCAGCTGCTTCTTCCTGTCATTTGGAAACAGTGAATCCGCTATGATCGCCTTGCTCTGTCTATTTGGGGGCATCAGTATTGCGTCATGGAATGCCCTGGATGTGCTAACGGTGGAGCTGTACCCCTCGGACAAGAGGTGGGTCAAGCTCATATTTCTGTGATTATTGTGCATCTATCACAATTGTCCCCTTTTCTCTCTGTACATGTGTATTAAACAGTTATCTCAATACGTATTTGGGCACTTACACCACACTTTACAACATATATTTGTCAAGGAATTAGATAAAAACAAGATTCTCTTCTCCTTTAATTAAAATATTTTCTTACTGTCTGAAATGACTTGAAAGATTAATAGATCAAATGTATGTCAGTAATTCTGTGCTGCATTGCCACTGCAGTGCAGATCAAATACATAATAATTTAGGGCTTATCTAAAAATTCTCAGTCAAAATGAATGAAGTCTCAGTGGTTCTGCCACAAAGTGCTATGTGTTATTTCTAAGAAAATATTTTGACAGTGCCTGCTTAACAATATGTGCTCTTTAGCACCCCTAAGAGTTCAATCGCTGAACAATCGTTTTATTTCAGAAATGTTTTAGAGACATTTACAGGGTTATGAAAGATCTCAAATAACTTTCTATTTAGCAAAGAATCCTGAACAAATGTATCCGCGTCCACAAAAATATTAAGCAGCTGTTTTCAACATTCATAATTGTATGAAATGGTTCTTCAGCATATTACACTCTTAAGAAATAATGGTTCCAAAAGTTGTTGTTTTTTTGTGATCAGACTTTTAGAGAAGAACCATTTCATTTTTCTTAGAACATTTTTCCACTGTAAAGAAGCACTTGTGTAATGGAAAGGTTCCATGGTTGTTAAAGCTTCTTTGTGGAACCATCAGTGACAAAACATTTTTTAAATATAGAAAGATTTCTGAAGGATCATGTGGCACTGAAGACTGGAGTAACGATGCTGAAAATTAGTCTAAGATAAATTACATTTTAAAATATATTTAAAATAGGAAAAAAAGTTATTTTAAATTCTAATTATATTTCACAATATTACTTTTTTCGTTTTTGTTTTTTTTTAGCAAATAAATGGAGCCTTGGTGAGAATAAGAGACTTCATTCAAAAATCGTCAAAAATGTGACCGCCCCTAAAACTTTTGTACAGTAGTGTAGATATATAGATAGATAGAAAGATGAATTTATGATCCAATTTATGTCATTTTTAATCTTTTTCCACAGAACTACAGCCTTCGGGTTTCTGAACGCCCTCTGTAAGTTAGCTGCAGTTTTGGGTATAAGCATCTTCCAGTCGTTCGTGGGCATCACTAAAGCGGTGCCCATCCTCTTCGCCTCAGGGGCTTTGGCAGTCGGAAGCTTCTTGGCCCTCAAGCTCCCTGAGACTCGTGGTCAGGTGCTTCAATAGTGCAGCGTTCCAGCATGCAGGTGGCGGCGTTTGAGTTTGACCCTGTCCGTGAGTGAGCAATGCTGGAAGCAGCCGAAACAAATCCCACATTTACAGATATCTTCATTCCTCCAAAATGTGCAATTGTATTATTAATTCGTTTTAATTTGATTTCATTCAAATCTACATACATAGATATGCTACATGCATAGAGTTTCACTATCTCACAGGAAGACCATGTGTGCGTGTGTAGAAAAACTGACATGTTAAACACATTCCAGCTTTGCGTTATGGAATGAATGTGAAATTTAATTTGTGAAATGTTCATTTTGACTTTCCCTTTAATCTTCATCCAAGCCATCACGTGATTTGAAAACCATCACTGAGGACCCGGGAAATCGGTAGGTAGATATATTTGAATGGACAGTGTTGATCTAGTGGTGCTGGTGATGGTTAATGTTGTTGCTTTACTCTAGTCCGTTGTGTCCCAAGAACTTAAAAAATGTGTGATCCCGTAATTGTGTGCAACGTCTGCTCAAGCACTCCTCACTTTTGAGATGTTTTAATGCATTAACACTGACATCACATTACTATAGACAGTGGTTCGCTCATTTTTGGTTTTACTCCATCTGAAGAATTCGGTTGTTCTTTCAAAATGTCTGATTATTGATGGTGTTGTGCATGAAATTAAGTGTGACGATTCATAAGAATATGCTTGAAGATAGTGAACATAACCGATGAAAGTGCTCTGTATTGTGCTACTCTACCTATGATTCTTTGGACATGATGTAAAATATGAGCTAAGTGACATGATGGGTTATCATTTGTATGATTTAGTATGCCATTATTCATATTTTGCATTATTGTTTTATGCTATCAATATAGAGTTTGTGTTCCTATTGAGATCAACAGAGTAGCTTCAGTTGTGTCGCTTTTGAATGTGCGCAAACATTGAGACGAACGTTACATTCGGTTTTCATACAAAAAATCCATTTAACACATACGAAAAACTAAAATAAATAAATAAATGAAGCACAATGTGATTTGATTAAACTGTCAAAAACAATAGTTTTATTTTGATGATTGTCAATTATGTATTGAATATAAATATATAAAAATTAGCTGTAATTCAAGTCTGTCTGTTTGAACACTCAAACTATTATTAAATATACCAACATATATATAAGAAAAGATATTTACATGTTCAAATGTTGAACTAGTATCAACATATGTCTTAGATTCCATTTGATGTATGTATATACAGTTTATCTGTTCATTAGTGGATTTCATTTTTTTTTATCAAAGCAAATATATATATATAAAAAAATGACTGAACAAGTCAATACACTGATTTGCAGCACACACAAATGCCCTCCTTCACGTTTTCTCTTGTGTTCTTGTAAAGAAACAGAGGTATCCGTCTGTGTGTGGGTGTGTGTGTAAGAATGGAAGTATGTGTGCTTGCATGTGAAATGTTGAGTGTTCTCTGAATATTTGTATTTATTTATATAACTGTTTATGAGAGTTTGATTTTATAGTATTTTTTACTTTGAGTATCTGTAGAAACAGATGCAGGGTGAATTTTTTGCTGTATCATTGTTGACCTGATGTTCAATTCTTTGGTGACTTGGTAGCAGTAACTGAATATAGCATCAAAAAGAAGCGAAAGTCAAAACCCAATGGATTTTAAAAATGAAGCAACATTTGATGGGAAGCAAAAGCAACTTGTCCAATTCTGCTACATTTTACCAAGCACAATTAATACTAGTTCCATGGAATATCATGGAAAACTGGTTCAATAACCAGATACTGAAGCAAAAAAGACAAAACCCCCTCTGGCTGGAAGCTATATTTCCGCCCTGTTGCTTGTAAACACAGCCAGCGCTTACACGTTTTTGGTGTCATTCAATGTTCTTTACTGCCATTTTGTAGGATAGCAGCCATATTATGTTCTCAGAGTAGACACACAATACAACCTACCATTTTTAGATTTAAATATACTTTAACCAAAGTGGTTACCGAACACAAACTATATAGTAACTTTCAAGCGCTCAAAATGTTTATAACAGCCTTACTGCTCATTTCAATTGGAGGAAGTGGCATTGCGATGGGCCACGCGTCACGTCGTTTAAAAATTCAACTGTTCTAGAAGCTGCCATCCCTGCCGTGACCGTCGGTCACCAGTAGTGTCACAGATGCTGTAGTGACAATCTTTATGTGTGCCATGTGTGACCGTGCGCATCTTTAATTATCAAATATTTTCTACTTCCTCGGTTTGTACTGGCAGATCTCCCATCACGGCACAGACAAAAACGTGATTTGTAATACATCGACGTTCTAGCAGGGTGCGGCGATCCAAGCAGAAAAAGGATATGAAAAACAAACCATTTTGAGACTTATAGACAGACATATCTCTCAATCAGGTGTTTTACTCAGATGGGACGCACTTAATGCTCTTGCAAACGTTTAAAGGGTTAGTTCACCCAAAAATTAATATTCTGTCATTAATTACTCACCCTCATGTCGTTCTAAACCCGTACGTCCTCCGTTCATCTTTGGAACCCAAATTAAGATATTTTTGATGAATTCTGAGACCTCTCTGACCCTCCTATAGACAGCAATGTAATTACCACGATCAAGGTCCAGAAACGTAGCAAGGAGATCGGTAAAATTATCCATGTGACATCAGGGGTCCAACCGTAATTTTACGAAGCTGCGAGAATACTTTTTGTACGCAAAGAAAACAAAAATAATGACTTTATTCAACAATTCGTCTCCTCCGTGTCACCCTGGTGCCATTTTGGAGAGTATCCACTGACACGTAAATCCACGTAAACAGCGTATGCTATTCTGTGTCAGCTGCGTCACGCGGATACGTTGTTTTCGTTCAAATCAAAGCATAAACAATGTAGAAAACATATCCGTGTGACGTAGCTGACACAGGATAGCATGTTTATGTTCAGTGGATATTCTCAAAAATGGCATCAGAGTGACGCGGAGGAGACGAATAAAGTCGTTAAATAAAGTCGTTATTTTAGTTTTCTTTGCGTAAAAAAAGTATTCTCGTAGCTTCGTAAAATTACGGTTAAACCCCTGATGTCACATGGATTATTTTACCGATCTCCTTGCTACGCTCCTGGACCTTGATCGTGGCAATTACATTGCTGTCTGTGGGAGGGTCAGAGAGGTCTCAGAATTCATCGAAAATATCTTAAATTGTGTTCCGAAGATGAACGGAGGTCTCACGAGTTTAGAACGACATGAGGGTGAGTAATTAATGACAGAATTTTCATTTTTGGGTGAACTAACCCTTTAAAACGAGCCGAAAGCTGGTTACAATTTAGAGAATGCTTGAAAAAGATAACGATTAAAGATTTGGTTTGTACGCACAACCAGCCATCTGTTATATATAGAACTTCTTTGTCACTTTGTCACTGTCAAAATGGCCCATCGAAAAACATTTCCAGACAGTCCTGCAGTTTGTAACCCTTCATATGGTCACATCTCCAATGTGTAGCTGTTGTTCCCTTCATTGAATTACAAATGCGTATGTCATAATTGCTGTTGTATGCTGTGAATTACAGTAACTAATCTCAGTGAAGCTATCTGTGTACAAGCAGTCCTGGATTTGGTCCTCACTTTAGATTGTGTACTGGCTGTAAGACTTTTGGGTTTTGTTACAGGGTCTTTTGTATTTCTTAATGTGTTCACTTAGCAACAATCATTCTTGTGTGCAAAAAGAGATCAAAGCAATAAGTGGTAAACATGTTCACTCTGCCTCCAAACTATTTCGGGCAAGAAAGCACACTAAAATATCAGCTGGCCATATTTGATGAAACAGCAGCTGGAAGAAAACAGGCCAACATCCGTACTCTACAAATATACCATAGGTCTTCTGATGCTTTTGTCAGTTTCAGTGTATTGCCATAATTTAAATGTGACCGAGAGTTTATCAACTTATCATTGTACTGTGCTGTAGAGATTGTAGATGTTTGTATGTAAATGAATAGATATGTGGAATAATAAAACAAAAAGAAAAAATGTTGAACATGAGGAATAGAGTACTACTGTATGTTGTTCATTTTGTGATTTGTTTTTTTGTACATGAGAATGGAAATGTTGACATTATCGCTGAATATAGAGACTATTCCACCCTTACCAAACTGGTTCTGTATTAGTTTGTGAGAGATTTACTTTTTGTTTTTTTGACTTGTATTCTGGGGATCGGACTGCGCTTGTGCAGTTAAAACTGTCCCTCATTGGATTTAAAACATACAAATAATAAACAAATGGTATAATGCTTGAATAGATTATTGGAGTTCTTCATGCACCACTCAGACAAACTTTATGCCCGAAGAAAATTCCGTCATTGTTTACTCACCATAATGTTTCCATCTAAATAAAAATATTTGGTTGCTGGCTCCCCAAAAACACACACACACACACACATACACACATAAAGTATGTTAAAAAAAAAAAAAAAAAAAGTATGCCATGTCTGCTATATTCCAAGGCTTCAGAAGTTTTCTGGTGCAATCAAAATTTAGGTTTATCACGTTTATTTGGCGCCAAATTAAAATAGACAGAATTAAAAAGCTATAGGCTAATGGAAAGAATTGACAGATGTCTAAAGAGATAAATCATGTATCTCTTTATTATAGACGTAGCCTATATATCATATACAGAATGATTAAGCATCTAGTTACAGTTCTTAAGTCTTGTGCTTGGGGTGCCAGATGACAACCTCAACAAATTTTGTGTATAGCCTACTTTTGATAGGCTATGTAGTCTAAAATATGAAAGTACAACAGTATTTATGTGTTGTCAACAGTAGCCCATGTTATGAAATCAATGTATAGGCATAAGCAGAATTAAAACTGTTTAGTATAAATGTCATTTCTGTAGGTGCTACGCCTTCAAGCGAATTCAAGTTCTTTTCGCAACCGATTATTTGGTGCCAAAATAAAATAAGCGCTCTGAATTTTGAGGTGTTGCGTTGTCTGAAGACAAGGTTGTTTATGTAATATATAAAATAAAGCTGTTTTGTATAACTAGAACAGTGGCATCAGGGGCAGACATATGTATAATATTCAGCAGCAAGTAGGAAATTAAGTGTTTTTAGGAATAGGAAAGAATATACAATTATTTCTCGCATCCGAATAGGGCATAACCTACTACACTCTTAAAAATAAAGGTGCTTCACGATGCCATAGAAGAATCTTTTTGTCTAAAGGGTTCCATAAAGAACCTTCAACATCTGAAGAACCTTTCTGTTTCACAAAGGGTTCTTTGTGGCGAAAGAAGGTTCTTCAGATTATAAAAAGGTAAGAAAGAGATGGTTCTTTAAAGAACCTTTGACTGAATGGTTCTTTGTGGAACCAAAAAATGGTTATTCTATAGCATCACTTGAAGAACCTTTTGAAGCACATTTATTTTTAAGAGTGTAGATTAAATCTCTCTCTGTTTAATAGGCTATAGGAAAACATGAAACGGGTCAATGTATTTTTTGTAATCAGGCAGAAATAATAGAGCATGTTTTAATAAAATGTAAAACAAATATGAAAAAGAAAGGTTAAAACTCATTAAGGAAGTAAGAAACATGGGTGTTGAATCATTTAATTTGTCAAACCTCTTGAAAGAGCATGCAGAACAAGGTAAGCATGTAGAACAAGGTAAAATATATGGTGCTATTATAAAATACATTAAAAAAAATAGGATTAATCAGGAGAATTTAGGTTTAAAAAAAAAATATGTATATATTTGTGTGTGTGTGTGTATATATATATATATGCAGTGTTGGGGAAAGTTACTTTTAAAAGTAATGCATTACAATATTGCAGTAATGTCATCTTAGCCGCCCGCCTTCTAAACAGTGAAGGACTGTCTGCATGAATCGCTTCCTGTGCGTGCGTTATACAAAAACAACACGCTGGAGGCGAAACGTGAGTGAAACGACTTCGATATTTGATCATGCATTTTCTTTGTCACTTGTCATCGTGCCGACGTTTGCTTACATAAACCTGTGAAAGAAATTTTATTTTAAAGAGCAACGATGAAGGCAATCTAGAACATGTCATTTCTAACCCTTTCGGTTGGATGTCGTGTGACGCTGCATGAAGTTTGCGACATGAGTATAGCATTTATAGCGCATGACATTTATCGATGAGATCGCTACGTGTACATGGTGCACAGGCGAGTGTTTCAGTTTACTTTTATACATATTTTGACAGTGTTTTAGCAAGTTAGTAAGCGCGTATCCAAGTCGGACCCAAGTCCGATTAGGTTACCATAGCAACAGCGGTAAGATCAAGCCTGCTATGTAGTACATTTTCATGTCCTCATTCATTTTATATATATATGTATATAAAAAAACTCACAATTTTTATTAAGTTATAGTCATATAGGATTTAATTTTCGCCGTATCCTCGGGTGGTGCCCTAACTTTTGACATGATAAACTGTATTTATTAAAAAATGTTCAAGTGTTTCTTCATTGTTTTCATTTTTATAATCACAAAGTTTTAAAAAAAGCAGTCTGGAAATATTAGGAATATTATTTAAATTATTAATCACTCTAAAGTTTGTTCTTGTCTCCTTATTAACGCAAGTATCAGCAATACCACCTTTAGTAAAATCATAAAAGCTGAAAAAGTAATGTCTTTATACTCTCTAAATTACTTAATATATATCGATATTAACCTTAGTCTGAATGTAATATAATTGCTATTATATATATATATATATATATATATATATATATAGTGAACAGCAGCACAAACCTGTATATTAGCAGTGGATAGATTTGATGAATTCTGTGATGTTTTGGGGTTTTAGCTGGATGGTTTCAATCAAAAGACATTCATCCTTTTCGATAAGATCACAGAAATTAATATAGTAATATAATGTAATAAAATATTATATAATTACTAATACAAAACCCATCTTTATTTTATTCCTGCTTATTATTTTTTTTTGCAATTTTGTAAATAATCAAGTTGAAATGTTTGAACTTGAACAGAGCATATGTCTGAAAGCCTGGTATAGAAACCAGACACTTTTATAGAAATACTTCCTTAAAATTACAATGCACGCATTTTATTTCTTTTTTATTTTTTTAAAGATGTCAACCAATTAAAAATTTACAGGCCTAACAGGTACAGGATTGACAGATTTATCTCTTTATTATAGACTTATTATAAGTATGTTGCAGAATACTTAAACATCTAGTTCTAGTTCTTAAGTCCTTAAGAAGGCAAATTGTGTTTGGGGTGCCTAATGACAACCTCGACAAACCACTTCCCAACAGAAATGTCTCATTGATCTTTGATGTTTTCCTGCAGCTGGTCTGGTCTGTGCCTGATGCTGTCCAGTGCACTTCGCTGCCTGCGTCCCTCCACCTGCACACTTGTCTTAACCAGACAGCTGACCCATCACCGGCCCCACATGGCTCCTGTAGAGACCACAATACGGGCCAAACTGACCCAGACCCTCAAACCTGAGCATCTGGAGGTCATAAACGAGAGTCACATCCATGCTGTGCCCGCTGGTTCAGAGTCCCACTTCAGAGTTCTGGTGGTGAGTCCTCAGTTTGAGGGTCTTTCCCTCTTGCAGCGTCATCGGCTTGTAAACGAGACCCTGCGGGAGGAGCTCAGCAGCTGCATTCATGCGCTCGCCATCCAGGCTAAGACGCCACAGCAGTGGAGCAGCAACCCCAGCCTGGCCAAAAGCCCCCCATGCATGGGAGGATCCAAACATGATAACACAATCACTGAGAAACTGAAAGCGGGCCGAGACTGACTGTCATTTCAGAAACAGAATCTCAGTGTTGATGGGTATTTAATATTATAATAATCAGATAAGAAGTTAATCAGTTGGTTTTTTGCACATTTAACTCATGCATATTTCTCATCTGGAGCTGACCGGGACTAATACTTAATAATTAATTGATGTCATACACACATTATTATTATTATTATTATCATTATGCAATTTGTTCTTATTAGCCTGGACTGGTTTAATACTATAATAAAACATGATTTTTGCACTTGGAATAAGAAATAATGTATAGCACAGCCCTGCATTTAAAAAAAACATTTCTGCTGATTTGCCAAAAAAGGCCTAATGTTACCTAATTTGATGATGAGTTCAAAAATATCAATAAAACTACAGTATTTTTCCTTAAAAATAAGAACAAAGATTTTTCATTGTATTTATATATATATATGTATGTGTGTGTGTATATATGTGCTTTAATGCACTTACCAAAATAACAAAAGCAGTCAAATGTTAAAGGTTTTGTTTTAATGACAAACATAAATATACAAAATGTATTGTTCAACTTACATTCCATCTGCAATGGAGTGGAAAAATATGCTCAAATACTCCATTTAATTTTAAAGAATTTTACATAAACATAAGTTTATAAATAAGCTTTTTCACAAAATCTGTAGTTTTCTGTCACTTTTTGGGTGTAGTACGACACACAGATGTAGCAGAAAAACATCTGGGTCATGTTTCCATTTTCTTCTGTTGCTGGCCATAATTCTATCCTTGAAATCAGGATCAGGCATAAAATGTCTTCAGAATCAATCGTACATGTGAAAATCGTTTGGGAATTGAACAAATAGTTGTCACCTGGCTTAGAGGAAGATAGGGATCATGTGTTTGTCTGGTTCTGCACCTTACAAATGGTTGTTGAAAGCAAACATGCTCTGAAATGCACATCATATTTTGTGAGAGAGTGTGACATGCTCGAGCAAAACAGACACTATTTTGGGAATCAGCACCCCAAAATTAGTAGAGAACTGGAATTCATTCAGCAAATATGATGCAGGGTGTTGTATTGATTTGGTTATCTTCGATTTACTTATATGGTTACATATCAATCAAGTAAATTAATACATGGACATATAATATTTATTTGAGTTGAAACGGTTTTATTATTTTGCTTGTAGAGACCATGTAGAAACAGAAGATGAGCGGCCGGTTATGCAGTGTTGTTATGGACAACAGTCATTATTCAGAAATATTTGGCTAAATGCTGCAATCGACCAATCAGAATCAACTAGTCTAGAGAGTCAACAAAAAAAGTTAATTTTATCCTTCTAAAACTGGATTGTATCTCACATCTGTACAGTAGCTGCCAGAAATTGTACCACCAGAGGGCAACATAACAGCGTGTATGCATAACATGATATCTGTGAAGTAGTGCCTCTTCCACTTAAATATCACTTCTGGTTATGTAATTGAATATAAGCAGAGCTTCATTTGTGGCAGAACAGGCTTGATATGTCTGACACCTCCAGAATTGGATCTGGCATCTGTTTTTGTGCATCCCACATGATCATAAACACTGAAATAATGGATTTAGCTACGCAATGTTAAAATGATTATTCAAAGCAACAAATATACTTTGTAGGGTCACAAACCTTATGTCAACTTTCATAATCTAATACCTAATACAAATATCAACAAGTTATAGAGGTGATGGAAATATGTTAGGTAGGAGATATGCAGAGAAACAGATCTGCATATAACAGGAAAAAAAGAAATACTTGGATAACTAATGGCAATCTGTTTTTTAATGTTTTTTTTTTTAATTTACAGTAGACAGTAGACAGTCCAATAGTAGAGAAGAGACAGATATTTACTAAATATGATTTGGCACAGAACTTAATACATTGTCAAATTAATTTTTACACAACATTTCAGGTTGGTCAGTTGTGGCATCTTATGCTCAAATATATTTGTATAATATCTATAATCTGTATAATCGACTGTTGTCACAGGAAAGGGATCGTCTACGTAGCTGTGCTAGTTTCATGTCTCTCATATCACACTATGTATTTTCTTTTCACATTCTAAATTTATTTAAACCCAAATCAATATTTCACGTGTGCATTTTTATTTATTTGGTAAGTATTCATGTAAAGTACACTCACCTTACACTTTGTGTCGTGGACATGCTTGTTTTGTAATAATAATCAGCTTACTGTGCATCACTTAATTATTAAGTAAATACTGACAATAACGGAATTTTGTTATGAACATGCATAAAACAACATCTAGAGAACAGCCTACAGTAAATGTTGGAGAACCAGTTTAGTATTAATTACTGATGTACACTACCATTCAAATATTTGGGGTTTGTGAGATACAAAAAAAAAAACGTTTTTAAAAGCAGTCTTTTATGCTTAATAATGTTGCATTTATTTGATCAAAATCCAGTAAAAACAGTAATTTTGTGATGTATTATTACAATTTAAAATCGTTTTTTAAAATGTAATATATTTCTGTGATCAAAGCTGAATTTTCAGCATAATTACTCCAGTCTTCAGTGTCACATGATCCTTCAGAAATTCTAATATGCTGATATGCTGCTCAAGAAACATTTATTATTATCATCAATGTTGAAAACAGTTGTGCTGCTTCATATTTTTGTGGAAACTTATACTTTGTATAACTTATACTTATTGTATAAGTTTATAACTTGTACTTTTGATCAGTTAATGTCCTTACTGAAGAAAAAAAAATTATATATAAAAAAAAAAACATCTTTCCGACCCCAAACTTTTTAAATATTGTTGTATAATTCACATTATGTCTTCCTGAGATAGGTAGATGGTTTGCTGTTAGTGATGATGAGGGGTCGCTGTTGCTTACAGCGGTGAAGTGGACAGAACTGTGCCTCATCACTGAAGTATGGAGTCAATGGAAGGTAAAATAGTTTTCCCTCCCGAGTTCCTCCATGCGGAACAGATGAGTCCGATCACAAACCAGTGAGGAATCAGAACAACTGTGTCATCGTTTGGCTGGAAAAACAGCAACATGACCATTTTACGACTCCGTCCATTAGAGAGAGCCCTGGGGTGATTCCACACAGGTCAAACCAAAGTGTGTTTAACGTTCACCGTCTCGGGAGAGCACGAACGTTCCTGAAAGTGTGAATTGTGTGCTTGAGCTCCAGCTGTGGCGATGCCTGAAAGATACATGATTGTGATGCAAGCCAGAACAGGAAGCCCTGTAACGCAGGTGGGGTTATATGGCCGAGCATCTGAGCGACCGAAGGCTGATGTATCCCGAACGGGGTCACGAGGGCTGCCAGGATGGCATGGTTCAGTGGGAACCGGCCTGGTAATGCGTCACAGTGGGGAGAGTGATGGTGCCAGGCCTGGCTGGGACCCTGGACGGTGCGTCGTTCCCGCCGGCGTTTGATTTACAGGCTTGTGCTGGATCTGGGCTCCCTGACACAGCTGACCTCTCTAGGTTGAGGGTCAATAGGTTAGGGATGGGAGCACCAAATGCTCGTCTGAAAAAGCTCCTATAGGGACCGGCCGTCTCTATGGAACAGTCGTCTGTACCATTCCTCCGTCTGATGCACTGTTTGTGTACTGTGGGGGGTGACACGTTAACCATTTGCTGGGAAATGTTCACATGTAATGTGAAGAAAAGTCTGTGGTGCTCAAAGGGAGAGTTCACCCAAAAACTAAAAATCAAACACTCATGTAGTTCCAGCCCTGTATTTTTTTTTTTTTTTTGATGAACCAAACAAAACAAAGGACATTAAAACTATTTTAAAAGTAGTCTATACTACTTATGTGTTATATTCGGAAATCATGTTTTTTCTTGTTTTTAATCATTCACTGTTATTTTTTCCCTTTCTCGTAGCTTTCAAATCTCTTTCACCTGCATATTCAGATAAAAAATATCTCCTTTACACACATTGCAACAGGTTTAGCATAACTGAGAGCAATAAACATTCATTCCTGTGTGTTTTGTGACCAGGCAAGTTTAAATGTACTGAGGTTTGAGAGGTACAGTGAAATATGTATTTATACTATTCAAAAGTTTAAAGTAGGTATGATTTTCTTTCTTTAAATGTTCTTGAAAGAAGTTGCCAAGGCTGCATTTATTTGATCAAAAATACAGTAAAATCAGTGATATTGAGAACTATTTTTACAATTTAAAAGAACTATTTTCTATTTTAATAAATGTTAACATTTATTCCAGTAATGCAAAGATCCAGTCTTCAGTGTCACATGATCCTTCAGAAATCATTCTAATATGCTGATTTGCTGCTCAGTAAACATTTCTGATTATTATCAATGTTGAAAACAGTTGTGCTGCTTAATAATTTTTTGGGGAAACTTTGACACATTTTTTCTCAGTATTCTATGATAAATAGAAAGTTCAAAAGAGCAGCATTTATTTGAAATAGAAATCTTTTCTAACATAAATGTCAATAATCTCACTTTTTATCAATGGAATGCATCCTTGCTGAATAGAATAACTTTCTTTCAAAACAAACATAAGCATGATGTGCGTGTGTGTGTGTGAGTATATATATATATATATATATATATATATATATATACACACAGTATCTCACAGAAGTGAGTACACCCCTCA